CCTCTTTCAAAGTGGCACATCCCAACCAGTTTGGGGCAGTCTCTTCCCCTCCCTATAAATCCAGTGTTTCTGTAACAATCATGACTCCCCTGCCCATACAATCCCATAACCTGTGATGCCACTCTGCAGAATCCTGGACATCAGGGCACATGGCTCTGCTGCAGGACCTGGGAACAGACCTCCCTCAGCAGCACTGAGCACAATGCAACATCCCCTGTGAACAGGAGAGCAATTTCATGTTGCTCTCAGAAGCACCAAAGGTTATCACCACTGCCTCTCCACAGACTAACTTCTGGACCACAAATACCACGGCATCCGGGCTACAAATAGGTCCACAAATCCCAACATTCTTTTCTTGGAGGTCTTGGGCAGCAATGCAAACTCGGGCAGAACTGGAAAGAGTGGTATATTCTGCCGTCATACTGTTCCCTCTGAGACACACAAAGATTGGGATCCCAACCAAAGCTGTTCACTCCTTCCTGTTAGCAGAACCCAGTCGTTTTCAGACCACTACAGACAGTGAATAGAACCCCCAGATGAAAGGTGGCTTAAACAATAAAGCCTTCATTTTCACACAAAGCAGAGCAATGGGAGGCAGGCTGCTTCTGGACTGGAGACTTAAAGGGCAGAAAAATTCCATCAGGTGAGACCAACAAAATCCTTGAAAAAGGCAGTCCCTGTGTTCAAGCCACCAGCAGAGTCCTCTGGGCCAAAAATTGGTCAGGTCCGTGACGTAGCTCATCAGAGAAAGCAATTAGAGAAAGGAATACAGATTCAGCCTTCTTACAAATCGCCCCTGCAAACAGGAGACCATCAAGGTTTGCTTCCCTGGACACACGAAGGTGGGTCAATGATGCACGCTGTGAGCTAATGATAGAGGTAAAATGGCCTTTGCTGTGGAACTGGCAGTGACATAAATCTGGTTAGGGCCCTGGGCAAATTAGAAAGTGCAATGCGGCTCCCACACACCTGGAATTTACGTGGTTCATCCGGGGCACGAAGTTCAATACAGACAGCTGGCACCCTCATGAGGGATCTCCCCAGTGCTGTTATACCGAACAAGAAATGACGCACTCCCTGCACATCTGTTGTTTTTCTGAAGTGAACTTTGTGGTATCCAATGAGAAAAGGCTGAAAGCTTTCTCACATTCATTGCACTAATAAGACTCTCCCCAGTGTGAACTCTCCGGTGTGTAATGAGGCTAGAGTTTTGGCTAAAGGGTTTCCCAATTTCAGCCCACTCATAAGGCCATTATTCTGGTGTGTTAGGAGACTGGAGTTGGAGGTAAAAGACTGCCCACATTTGCTACATCATAAAGACTTCCTTCTGTGTGAATGCTTCTTTGTTTAATAAGATTGGAGATTTTAGCAAAGCATTTCCCACATTCACTCCACTCATAGAATCACTGGGAATTCTCCAGTGTTGGAGGAGCACAGACGTTTGGCTAAATGATCTTCCACATCTGCTGCAATCTAATGCCTTTTTCTAGCGTGAACTCTCCAATGTTTAATGAGGTGGGGCTTTTGCCTAAAAAAGATTTACTACACTCCCCACACTCATAAGGATTTTCTCCAGTGTGACCTCTCATGTTTAAGGAGTGCAGAAATCTGGGTAAATGCTTTTCCACATTCGCTGCATTCATAAGGCTGTTCTCCAGTGTGAACTCTCCTGTGACTAACGAAGACAGAGTTAGCAGCAAAGGATTTCCCACATTCACTGCACTCATAAGACGTTTCTTCAGCGGGAATTCTTGGATGTTTAAGGAGCTTAGAGATATGGCTAAATTTCCCATATTTGTTGCATTCATATGGCCTTTCTCTAGCGTGAACTCTTCCATGTGTAATAAGGTTGGAGCTTCAGGTAAATGATTTCCCACACTCCATACATTCATAAGGCCTATCTCTGCTATTACCTCTCTGGTTTTCAATGAGGTCGGACTTGTTAAATATCCCATAATCTCCAGATGCAAAAGCTCTTTCTCCAGTGTGAATTTTCTGATGCTGAGTGAGGCTAGGCAGGAACTGCTCCTGGTTCCCTTGGTCAAAAGGGCTGTGAGGCAAGGAGACATCATGCACGGGAGCAGTGTGGGGAGGTAACTTGCACTCAGGCCACTTCAGGATGTCCTGCTTTCAGCAAATGTCAAGGAAACACATCGTACCAGGTTTAGGCCTTATAGCACAACTTGGCAGACAGCACCCACAGCATGCTTGGCAAATTCAAACAGGATCCAGTATGGCCACAGACTTCCCATGGTTCCCAACAGCAGTGTCACCTCAAATCATCCCATGAAGGTCTCACTGAGTGGCTCTGTTCCTGCCTCAGACTTAGACACACAGAGTGTGGGTATCTGTGGATCTCAGATACCCACAGTCCCCTGCTACTTCTGTGATGCACCTGCTGTTGCCTCAGCACAACCAAATTTTCTCTGTCCCCTTAACCGTCACTCAAACCCCAGCCCCATTAATTGCCCATCCCAGGGCTAGTGATTCTCACAGATGGCCAAATTTACCCCAGACCATATCAACCAGGCTGAATAAAACACCCCAGGCCCCATTAAAGTCCTCCCAAAATCTTGGTGAGTCCATCGAGTGGTGAATCAGCACGAGCTCTGGCCTGAATGTCATCTTGCCTCATTACCCCTTGTCTCTGTAACCATCTCATGCCACTCTTCCCTTGGAAGCCTTGGCCAGCTGCCAGACTATCCCGTCTGATACACCAAACCAACAGCCACTTACCTACGTTTATGAAGCCCAATACCATCACCCAGGTCCCATGAAAGAGACCCAGTCCTCAGCCCCCACCCTCTACACCTCACCCCCTAATAGCTTTGCCACGACAACCTGAAATTTGCCTCCTTCTAAATGCGACCCCCAGCTCACTCATCTTCTCATCTTGGTCCACACTGTAGCTACCACAATTTGGACGTCTCTAACCGGAATCTCTCCTCAGACCCCCCAACCTGTATGTTAGCTGCTCATTTGATGCCTCCACTCAGCGATGTTTGAAACATCTCAGACTCATAACATGGTCAAAACAAAGCTCCTGATATCCCCAGTGAATATTACGCCAACTGCCGACTTGCTCGTCTCAATTGATGCAGCTTCCATCACTACAGCTTCTAAGACCAAAAGCCCTGGGATCATCAGATTCCTCTGTTTCACTCCCTCACCAACCACTTTAGAAAATCTAGGTGCCCCATTAAAAACATGCAGCCAGAAGACAACCACACTTCCTGAGCCACAATCCTGTCCATTAACCTGCACCTGGACTATGGTAGTCACCTCCATATTGATCATCCTTCTTCCTCTCAGAAGCCGAGTCTGAGTTCCACTCTGGAGCCAGATGAAGCCCATTAAAACCTGGGTAGCACCACCTCCCTCCTGTGCTCCAAACCTCTAGCTACCCCCCGAATACACACCCAACAACTCCGGCAGTCATTCCTCTCCTGAGTCCTATCCACCTGCTATTTATTCGTATCTGGAAGAAAGGAGACCTGTGGTTCCTAAACGTCCCTGAGCTCAGCTGTACCTCTACGCATTTGTGCATCCTGTTACCAGCTCTTAGGTTAACCTTCCACACCTGTTTACAATGGTTGCTGGAAGTGGGAACACCTCCATATAACCCCTGCCATGGATTTAGGACCCTAGGCCTGTGGTCTCTTCAGAGTCCCCAGACTCAAGGATGGGGGAAATGGCATGAAGAGTCTTAGGACACCGCAATCCAGAGAACATGTGAGTGGGGAGCAGGGCCAGTGAGGTACTGGAACACGCTCCACTTCCCTGTGTGGGTTCTGTAAGCACTTCTCCACCCAGGAGAACTAGTGCGAAGAGGCACGCCTTGGAGGAATTGGCCCATGGTGGGGTTCAATGGTTCATGCCTCCCGGTACCCTTCCCTGGCCCTGCAGCCCCGTGACCTCAGGCCAGCTGTCCTCTGGGCCTCAGTGCTCAGTGTCACCTCTTACCAGGTGTGTGACCTTGAACAAACATTCCACCTCCCAGCGCCTGAACATCACCATCGTCCCTCTGCACTCTGCCCTTCCGTTGAAGAGGCTTTGGAAAGTGTTAAAACCCTAACGGAGGGCCAGCACGGTGCCTTAGCAGTTAAGTGCGCGCGCTCTGCTACTGGCGGCCTGGGGTTCAGATCGGGGCGCCTGCCGACGCACCGCTTGTCCGGCCATGTTGAGGCTGCGTCACACATACAGCAACTAAAACGATGTGCAACTATGACGTACAACTATCTACTGGGGCTTTGGGGGGGAAAAAAAAAAGGAGGAGAATTAGCAATAGATGTTAGCTCAGAGCTGGTCTTCCTCAGCAGAAAGAGGAGGATTAGCACCCATGTTAGCTCAGGGCTGATCTTCCTCACAGACAAAAAACAACCCTAACGGAGATCGTGTCTTTCAGCTCAAATCTGTTCATGGCTTTTAGAGTCCTCACAATATGGCACAACCCTCAGCCTGCTATTCCAGTTTTAATTCCGCCTCACACTCTGTTCACTGCAGACAGAACACTGGACCCCAGCTCCCCTACTCCTCCCAGCTCAGTCGCCCTCCACGCCTTTCCCCCGCTGGGCTCTCCGCCCGGGACCCTCTCCCACACACGTCACCTCGGCTCTCAAAAACAGGCCCCACAGCGGGTGCCTGACCGGTGGCGCAGCGGTTAAGCCCGCGCGCTCCGCTTCGAAGGCCGAGGGTTCGCAGGTTCGGCTCCCGGCGCGCACTGACGCACCGCTTATCAAGCCATGCTGTGGCGCCGTCATGGGGACTGATGTTAACCCAGGGCTAATCTTCCTCAGCAAAAAAAAGAGGAGGATTAGCATCAGAGGTTAGCTCAGGGCCGATCTTCCTCAACAAAACAAAACAAAAAAAACAGGCCCCACCAGCCCTCCCCGTCCCGGACACCGGAGCCTGGGCTGCAGGCCCGTGAGCGGCGCCCGCACTCGGGGCTCTAGGGCTGGGCTGGGCTGAGGGCGGGGAGGGCGCGGAGCACGAGCACTGACCTGAGCCGGCTCCCTCCGCGCGGCCGCCGCCATCGGACTCCGGGGCGGAGCGGGGCCGGGAGCGGCGGGAGAGGAGGGGACCCGGGCACGGCGGTCCCTGTCCCGGGCCTGGCGCGGGTCCCCCCGGCGTCACCAAGCCTCAGACCCGCCCTGTGCAACGAAAACAACGTCTCTAGCGCCTTCTCAGTAGCGACCCAGCGCTCTGAAGCCTACCTCTGGATGAACAGACACCAGCGAGGCTAAAATGACCGCCCGGAAGAGGACGCTGGAAGTCCCGAGCCGGCGCGCACGCACGGAAATTCCCCTGTCCTGGACTCTCATTGACTCAACTGCGCCACTGTTGGGCGCGTGGCGCTTTGGGTAATGTAGTTTTCTTAGCTTCACAGGCGGTTGCTAGTTTTAGTCCTTGACCTTTGCCTATCAAGGTTTCCGGCACCGCGGGTTGAGCTAGGAAATGACGACTTGGCCCTTCAGGGGAACGGAAGGCGCTTACTCCTTCTTAAAGGAGCGGCTTGCAGGTTTCAGGTAGTGTTGCCTGCGACTGATAACTTAAGTGTGTAGAGACATCATTTCAGACTCCCGGAAGCTCAGAATGCTCCCAGAGGCTAAAAGTATTATTTCAATTATTCCCAGAGACTACAAATCCAAATGGACACGTTCTCTTTCAACACAAAATGCATCTACTCTTAGCTGGAATGTAATAAACATTTTCTTGCTATTCAAATGCATGTCCTCAGAAGCATTAGTGGATTTTGTAACTCTATGTGCAGTCAGGGCCATGACTTGGAAGATAAGGAGTGACATTTAGGCCGCCCTGAAGTAGGAGGACAAGCAGTTATCTCTGCCTCTGGTTCCCACAGAGAACCTCTTTCCTGCCTGTATACTCAGTGATCGTGTCCAAATCATACAGTGACACTGTTTATCTATTTAATATTCCTTACTCAATATCCGAAGATATATTCAATTCTCTATGAATTTGACATCTATCTCAAACTGAGAGCAACTTATTAAATTCTGTTTTGATGTGGGATAGTGGCTATACTGTTCTCAGGCAGAGCATGTGGGCAAAGAGGGCATCTGAACACTATCCTCTCATCTTCTTGTGGGGAAGGGATTATCATTATTCCAGTGATTGCCAGGACTTTTGTGCATGAGGAACTGATGATACCTCAGAAAAAAAGTTGTGAAATGTAAATTACAGAGAGCTATTAATAATGATCATGTAGTTAGTCAAAGAGAGTGGTAGAAATAGCTCTGAGGAAACATCAGTGGAGGGTGAAAAAAGTGAAGACCTCAGATGATTTGTATCAGCAGATACTGGTCTGAGAAGTCAGACTGAACCCCATCTTGTATTGTGATTCTTTTTCATCAGTTTCATCCTAATGGATCTGTATGATTTCTCATGGCAGTTTTAATTTACAATTAAATAATAATCAATCGTAATCAATTGTAATCAATTGAAATAATCAATTGTAAATTACTTAATTTACAATTAAATAATCACTCATGTTAACTATTCTAGGCCTGATGACCACTCATATACGTTCTTTAATAAAGATTCTGCTCATATATGTTGCGTGTTTGATTTTTTGTCTTTTTCATATTGATTCCTAGGATTTCCTTTATATGCAAGTCCTTTAAATATTCAAATATGTTTGTACCATTCTGTGTGCAATTTTTAGTCAACATTTTTGAGGTAATATATATATTATATATACATATATTATTCCAGTGTTTTTAGAGTTCTTCTTACTTATAACTAAGCAATTCATCTATATGCCAATGTTTTAGTTAATACTTCTTTTATTACACTTTTTCTATTCAAATTACTATAGAGTTTCTTTCTCCTGATTATACTCTAACTGATCAGGAACTGTTTCTGGCAGTAGTCCTAGTAGATCAACTCATAAGGATGGGATTTAGGGATTGTTTTAGCCATGTCCTGGGGTTTGAATGAAGTACTGAACAACTAGCCAATGGGAAATGGGATACAGTGCATCATAATTCATCTATGACCTGGGGTTGATTATGATGAAGGGGCAACTGCAGCACATGCCTTGAGACCAAGTGGGTGCTGCGATGAGTATTCAAGGCAGAGATGGTGACTACAAGGAGTGAAGTCTGGGAAGGATTCTTCTGACTTCATGTTTTTGCTTACAAAGAGAAAATGGTAAGCTCAAGATCATTATCTCTCAGCTCAAGTCCCAGGATGAGAAACAAAATTTCCATGATAGCCCTCAAAGAAGCTCTGATTTCTGTAGCTGCTGGGCTCATGAGGCTGAAAACCAATACATTCAACCCATGGCTTGCTGAATTACAATGACAGTTGAATACACACTCTCACAAGGTTTCTCATGTGAAAGATAGGGCAGTGATTGATAAAGAGGGATTCTGAATCTTGGAATAGGGAACATCTGGTAGGTGCAGAGGAAATCAACCATCTAGAACCCTTAAGCTACTCTGAGTCTCTCTTACAAGGTGTCTGAGGAGACTAGCCTACCTCTGCTAATATTACCTGGGGCAGATGGCTGTAAAGGAATGCCAATTCTCCACAGGACTCATCACAACAACCTGTAAGTAGTACCAACTCTCAGCATTATCCATGGAAAGAGGAAGAAACAATGGACACACCAGAAGGATTGTGATACTTTGGTAGGTTATATTATCAGAAACTGGAGAGCAAATGTGGGTATGGGTTCTCAGGCTGTTTAACCAAAGAGGGTGGAATATATGACAGACTGGAATAAATTCATCAATGTGGTGCAGTTACTAGAGGATTCTGGATTTACTGTGCTAGCTTGTGCAGCTGCAGGTGACTCTAACAGCCTACTTGTTCAGTTGACTGGCCTTGGATTCAATGGTGGCCTCTCAGTGAATGAGGCTGAGATGTCACAGTTAGTACAAGATGATGTACAAGATAGAATTGAAAGGCTTAGGGATAGGAATGTTGGCTGGATTTATCATGTGTGAGATGTACCTCTACATCTGTATTAATCATGTTATTTTTATTTTCTTTATTTTATAATGCTGCCGTCTTGGGAGCCCTACAGACCTGCAAGAGACTGCCCCTCCTAGGGCTAGCTAATTCCTCAGTATAGTAAACAACTTCTGCAAGAGCAACCCTTTCATATGCAAACCAACCAATCCAAAGCCATACTCCCAACCACTTCCTTTATCTAACTCACACACCAAGCCAGTATTTTCCCTGCCCTAAATCAACCCAGGGCCAGGTACCAGACTGTTAGGGAGAATCCCTACGCCCCAAGCCTGCCAGAAGTTTTTAGACTAGCCAATCCTAAATGGTTTACTCTGCCCTGCCTTGCTTTTCTCAAGGAAACCCCAAGAAAGGCTTGTGCCCATATTGTCTCCTCACTCCTTTGTGCCTTCTGACTGACACTGTTGCTTCCCCATATAGCCATGTGTGGCATGGCATGCCTCTGTACTTGGGAACTAAGTAATATAAACTTCTTACAGAGGCATTAACCTCTCCACGTTGCCATTCAGTCACCTCTATAAATTAAAACCCCTTGGAGCAAGTGACGTCAGCATCACGGTGGAGTGAGCTTTCCCATAAACTCTCCCTCCCCATAAGATACAACAAAAAGAACATTCATATACCAACAAAGGACACTCACACAGCACAAAAGGACATCGGAGAGACCCACACAGCTGCACATCTGTGAGTGGACGTGCTGCAGCCCCCAGAGTTAGTAGGGAGAGGTATAAGGAGAAATCCTCCTCCTCCCCATCGGATCTGCAACTCGGGTCTGCAGGGTTCCCAGAGAGGGCAGAGGGGCAGCCCTCTGTGGGAATACTGTTGCTCTCCAAGTTCTCTCAGCCTATGGGAAACTCCCACACGGAGGAGTTGGTACTGTTGCAGGGGTGCCACCAACATCTGAGCACCCCAGGACAGCAGATAGTGTGGAAGAACCAGAAGCCCACCAGGAAGAGGCAGGCAAAAGAGAGAGGCACCCCGCCCCCAGCCACACGCCCGGCACTGCAGCTCAGCCAATCAGAGCAGTTGCTGATCACAGTGGGCTCAGATTACACAGCCCTTGACCCCCACCCAGTGGTGGCAAGTGGAAACTGCAACCAGATATTTCCCGGATGAGAAAAAACAAAACAAATATAGCAAGCAAGATGCAAAAATACATTAAATCGCCAGACCAGAAGGAAAATGATAGGCACCTAGAAATCAACCGTGAAGGCACAGAAATTCATAACCTAAATGACAGAGAATTCAAAATAGCTATCATAAAAAAGCTGAACGAATTACAAGAAAACACAGATAAACAATTCAACAAGAGAAGGAGTTTCTTCACAAAAGAGATTGAAATCACAAAGAAAATCCAATCAGTATTCATGGAGATGAAGAACACAATGGAGGAGATAAAGGAAAATCTGGAATCTTTAAAGAACAGAGCTGATAATATGGAGGAAAGAATTAGCATTATTGAGGATAGGAATACAGATATGCTGCAGATGGAGGAGGAGAGAGAACTAAGCCTAAAAAGAAATGAAGAAAGTCTCCGAGAAATATCTGACTCAATTGGGAAATGTAACATAAGAATTATAGGTATTCTTGAGGGAGAAGAGAGGGAAAAAGGAATGGAGAGCCTATTCAAGAAAATAATAGCTGAGAAATTCCCAAATCTGGGGAAGGAACAGGAAATACCAGTAAGTGAAGCCAAGAGGTCGCCTAAATATATCAACAGGAAAAGGTCATGGCATATAGTAGTAAAGCTGGCAAAAGTCAATGACAAAGAAACAATATTAAGGGCAGCTAGAAAAAAACAAAAAATAACATACACAGGAATTCCCATCAGGCTCTCAGCAGATTTCTCAACAGAAACTTTACAGGCTAGGAGAGACTGGAATGAAATATTCGAAATCCTGAAAGACAGGGGCCAGCCCAGTGGCGCAAGTGGTTAACTGTGTGTGCTCCACTTCGGCAGCCTGGGGTTTGCAGGTTCAGATCCCAGGCATGCACCAACGCACCGCTTGTCAAGCCATGCTGTGGCAGCATCCCATACAAAGTAGAGGAAGATAGGCACAGATGTTAGCTCAGGGCCAACCTTCCTCAGAAAAAAAAAAAGAGGAGGACTGGCATAGGATGTTAGCTCAGGGCTGATCTTCCTCACAAAATCCTGAAAGACAAAAACTTTCAGCCAAGAATACTCT